AGGCGGCGGGGGGCGGGAGGGGAAAGCACCGCCCGCCCCCGCGGAGGAAGGGGCTCGTTAACCCCCGCAGGCACACCCGCTGGAAGCTGTTTACTCAGTTTGCGGAGCTGGGGGTGCTCAGAAGCAGCCTCCAACCATCCAACAGCTCCGCACCCCAAAAAAACCCGCACAAGAAGAGGTGCTTTCCCTTACCAGTTACACCTCCTTGGGCACCTGTAAAAGGAAGACTGGGGGGATGAGGGTGGGGGGTGTCAGAGAGGACTGACTTTTTTGGGTGTTGAAGCTAACATGAATCTGCACCCCGTGGGGCTGAGGAGAGCGAGCCTTTGGCTGGAGGAGGCCTGTCCACCCACCACCATGTCCTCACAGCCAACACGTGTCCACTCATCGCAAATTAATATATAGATGCTACCTGGGGGAAAAGGCAGGCAAGCTCCGTAATAAATGACAGGTTGTGAGGGCTGGGGCTGAGTCCGCAGCTGAGGGTAAATCAGCAGAGTCCCCTGCAAGGCCATGCTTTAGCTACGGGGAATTGATGGCCCAGGTGAGGAGCTCAGAGCTCTGCGAAGCTGCTGCAAAAGTGTGGAGTGCAGGTTGTAGTCCCGAAGAGAAACAGAGCAGGCAGAGGTATCAAGTTCTTCACTAAAAATAACAGTGTGTTGTCACTGTGAAAATAAATTGCAGCGTGTTACTTCTTTTCTAAAAAAACTCCTGCACATACAGGAAGAATAACTACATTTCAATTAGCAGGGAAGTATGTATGTTCATATCGTATATATAGTGCCAGTTATTTTCTGTATAGATCTAGAGGTATGTTTATATTTTGCAAACTATCATAATTTTTAGACTCCAGTAAGCCCAGTCCTCAGACTTGGCAACAACATTAAGATAAGGGGATTTATGGTACACAGCAAGAGAAGCCAAAACATTCCCCAGGAACATAATCCCTTGGAGGCTTTATGGGTCTGGGGGAGGAGGGAGTGATTGGTTTGTGTGGGGCATGGGGCTGTCCAAAACCAGAGACTCTGGTCTTTTGTTATGTTCCTTACAAACCTACCTTTCAAAGAAATGCTTAAAGATCAGCATCAGCAATGACCAGTTTTACCCTAATTTACTCTCAAGTATCTGAAAAATCTCCAGTATTTTTCTCTTCAGTGCCTAAAATATTGAAACCTTGATTCCAGTTAGATCTCTTAGACACTGGTGTAACACAAACGATAAATTATACTGCTGAAGCCAACATGCAGGCTAACATCTAACCAAGGCAGACACAGTCACACCTGCACTGACATCTCCAATGATGTCAGCATCTTCCATCTTCCTAGAAGACATGGAACTTCAAACAATCCTGTTTCTAAGAGGACTGGGGGTGAGGAGCTCTGCCCTTCAGACACAGCATGGGATTTGAAAGAGCACAGCTGTAAGGAATGACACAGCTGGAAAAGCCAGCTTGTTCCAGTTTGCTAGTGGGATATACTTTGTGACCAGTTGCTTCGATTTTCCCTTCATAAAGAAAATGCAGTATTTATTTACTATATGTCTTAGCTCTACAGCAGAAGTTTCAACTTCCTTCTTGCAGAATAGGTCTCCCCATCAAACAAGCTGACTCAAAAAGTAAACAATTTGTAGGATCTTTACCCAGAATCTTAAGCATATAAGAGCCTGAAATTAATAATCCATCTGTAAACAAGGGCACAGTAAGACATTTATGATAGAATATGACTAATCTGTTAGTTTTCCCTAGTTCAAATGCTGCAATAATAAGAACTAACATGTCATTCTGCATATGATTTTTTTTTAATTACTCACTAGGCAGCTCTCTAGAAGCTCTTCCATTGCAGGTAAGCATCTTTTATGTGGAAATCTGGGTTCAGGCTGGGTTTCCAGTACTTCCTGATAGCAGCCAGGTTGAAACTCCTGCACTTTCTCGTCTGTCAAAATGCTGTGCTCATTCTTGACAAAATTTGAAAGAAAACACAAGATACAATTCTCACTCACATTTCCTCAGGCACCAGAAGACAGCTGAGTTCAGGTCATTTTAATGGTGAATGAAGGATTTTTATTTTTTTTTATTTTTTTTACTTTTACTCAGATCTGCCTTTTCCACTCCTTCAAAGGCTTTAAGCTTTCACAAGGTACATTGGGAAAGCCAGTTTATTCTTGGCGTACACATATGCATTTTTCTAGCGTTAAGGGACATGGATGTCCTCTCCTACAGCCCAGAGCTGTAAAGATGCTCAGCAAAGAGTCGGTTACCCAAGCACTTCTGAAAACCCGCTTTGGAGCCTCTCTCCCCAGTAGACAACGGAAGCAGTGGCTTGGTTAGCACCTATGGGTACCTGAAGACACAAAGCACAGGGAAGGGCACAGGACAGTCCAAGGGGCCACATGGAGACACAAGATGGTGAAGCTGAGCTCAGCAGAAGGACACGAGCTTCACAGCACACAAGAGCCATGGAGGGGATATAAACTGAGCTGCCAGCTATGCCGGATTTAAGGGCACTTCCTACCTCCGAGGCCTCAGTCTGGTAAACAGAGAGGAATGTCCCTGCCTCCCATCCTCGTCCTGTCATTTCCAATTTGAGCAGGAGCTTTCTGGGACACTGGTCATCCCTCTCCTCATACCCAACATCGCAGAGCCTGCCGTCAGCTTGACCTATAACTGCTGATACAATACGAACAGCCAAGGAAATTTAACTTAACATGAATTAATTAGTTACATAAAAAGATAACCAGGGTACCCAGAATTTTGGGGAACAGATTAAAGCCGATTCACTGGTTTATTAAGAAGTGCTTGTTCACCACAGCCAATGCCCTGTAGTCTGGAAGAGCAGACTCACAAAGCATGAACTGACTCGATTACAGCCTGTTTTCATTGGGTGCTCGCTGGAGCCTGCTCTGCTCCTCTCCACGCAGGGTTTCCAGCTCCTGTGAATCTGCAGATGGTTTTGTAACATAACTGTTCAAGAGCTTTCATCCAAAAGTTCAATCTTCACAGTTTTAGGGTTGCAGGGTTTCAGAAAACCATCACTCTGTCGCAAGCACACTACTGCTTTGGGCTTTCACAGACAGCGGGACACTTCTACCTTCTCCCAAAAGCTGGCAGCATATCCTACCATTTAGGAATGGTGGCTTGGGCCCCTCACCACAGAAAAGAGCAATATGGCACAGCAAAACTACTAGCAGTCAGGTATGGAGTGCAATGCAAACAGGACAGCAACGTGCACAGGTGCTACTCCGCTCATCCTGGGAGGAGGCAGCACAAGCAAAGATGGACCCAGAAAATGTCTGAATTGTCACAGAGTTAGTCTGCAGGAGCACTGAGGCAGAGAGAGGCCAAAAGTTTTCAGTGGGACAGAAGTCTACACAGACCCCAAGGTGGGATGAAGTTGTGAAGGACAAAGAGACAACCTGGGGCATTGACACCACAGGGAAACAGACCTCTCCTTATCTCATGAGGCAATGCCCACAGGAGATTTCTCACATACAGCCTCTCATACAGACAAAAGCCCTCCAGACAGATAATCAGCACCTGAGGATCGAGTACAGGTCTGACCCTGCTCAAAAGTGGGTCAAGCTGATCACGCGTTTTGCAAGACAGCGCTTTGCCATGTGCGGCTGCTGCAAAAACCTGTTGCATTGGCACAGAGCAACTGTGGTAGCACTCACCATGAAGGCTACGAGAGCTGGCTTTCAATTATATTATTCCCTCATAATTCCTCGTTAAATGAACCATCCTCTTCGAAGCAGCCTCCAGATCCAAGTGAGAGGGTGGTGTCAGACTGAGAAGTCCTGTGTTTTCTGGGCCCTTTGCCGGAGTAGCTCCAGGAACGTCAAGTGGCTCCAGAATAGGCCACAACTCTATTCCTGCTTCCCAGCTACCGACTCAGAGGTGACTCTTCTCCTCTTGGGTTTGGTTTTGGGTTTTTCCTTTTTTTTTTTTTTTTTTTTTGTGTGTGTGTGTGTGTGTGTGTGTGCGTGTCTGTTTTGTTCTTCAAAGCAGGACCTTGACAGCAGAGTTTGCAACCAGACAGTGGTGCTGACGACATTTGTAGGTACACATTTGTAGATAAACGCTCTGGAAATTTTTAGGCTGAAAAGTATTAAAAACAAACTGTCACACCTCCAGATCTTCCCCTCCCTAGAGGGCCACACAGTAAAAGGACTTACTTTTCACTGTCTCTGAAACAGAACAACATAAACCTTCCGCCCTACGTCTCCTCTTCCTCCCACTCTGAGAAAGTTTGCTCTCCATATGTCATTGGTAAAATATGTAGGGACTCAAATAACCTGGTGCATCTTGCCAGCCACAGCACAAGTCTTGTATCCACCAACACTTTGAGGAAGCTGGCCTGGAGGGGAAGGAAGACAGAAAAAAGAAAAATCAATGTAGCACAGGGGCTCACAAGTGCTCCAGCGCTGGGGGAGAGACAGAGTCAGAAGGTGATTTTGTTCAACTTGTGACAATTGATGAGGCAAGAACCATGGAAAGGCAGGTTGGGAATGATCTGTAGGGATATTCATCTTCTGCTGAAAGGTAAGATTATCTACCTGAACACAGCAAGACTGAAGGAAAGAATCAGTCAGCCCTAACTCTTCTCAATACCATCAAGGTCATCAGTGTGAATTACCCCTTCTTCCCCCGCCCCCCCCCCTCCAGTAGGAGAAAGTGCTCTAATCTTCAATGAGGTAATTTCGCAACATCACTTCGGGGGTATAAACCTCCTCCACCATCCCTTGGACCTCATTTGGCCCAGCCATCTGCCTTGCCAACAAGCAGTATTTGCCGGAGGCAATGTGGCCACTTAAAGCTTTTCCAAAAAAGGTATGAAGTATTAAATCCCTGAACAAAACAGGTTTAATACGACTTAATACTAAGTCTGCTCTAATCATAATTACCTTCTCCAGAATAGACTACTGCAAATTCTGATCACAGCCCTCTGCCTTTCCATTAATTAACTGCTGCAGACAAGTTATGCCTTTAAGAATCACACAGCACCTAGACAAACACTGTGAATGTTGCAGGGAAGAGTGAAGATTAATATGCAGTCCTCTGAAACAGTTTGGTTTCCAGTATAGATTTTACAGATCTTCCTCATATTCTGCTTGCATTTTATAGATGCCCTAATAAACAGATGCCTGAAAAACTGCTAGTCTGAAAATCTGACTCATTTTCTTCTACTTATTTTTAATATTTATAAAGCATTGATCGTAACAACACCTAAGCAGCAGCAGTCGCTTCCATTCACTTTCTAATCTTCATTCTCCCAACCTTTGACCATCTCTCACTCGAAGGAGATAACCTATCATCGTGGCTTAGGCCATTTACCTAAATGGTGGGAGTTAAACAGCTCCAATTCCAAAAGCTTTTCAAATTTTCTAAAAATGTATGCATCTGAAATCCCCAGCTTTCAACAAGGGAATTCTTCCATTTGCTCCCTTCTTCTGTAAACCACCGTTCTTCCAACAACCACTTCCCAGGGCAATTCACCCAGCCTTTCACCAGCGGGAGGCTGTGACAGTGTCACGCGCTGTACTCAGAACAACCACCGAGAAACGTCTGGAAGTCTCAGGGCAATAACTCAGCTACTGGGAAGGGGACCATATCCCATGAGGGTTTAGCAATCAGTTAACTCTCTGTGTTACTGAATGAGGTGTTGAATAATAAAGCATTTGATTCATAAGCAGTTAATAGGCAACAAAAGAAAAAGGGGAATTTAAATTACGCAATTGTTGAAAACATTTACCAATATCTTTTTCCAATGAAAAGTGCAAGAACCAATCAGGCAAATTACCCACTCAGAGTGGTTCAGCCAGCTGTAGTATCAATAGCATTTAAGCACGCTTATTTTGAAAAGCCAGAGATGCTGTGTAAATCTACTGAAGCACATCTAGCCAACAGACCATTCACTGTTTGTATATTTGCTTTGGACTGTTTAAAGAAATAGTATTAGCCCTTTCATCTGAGGCAGGTAATATTTTTCTTTTCATAAGCTAAATAAAATCGTAAGTGACATGAGTTACATGCTGCTCTTGAGCAAACAAGGTGTAGTTTTCCCTAACATCATCTTTGCAGGCTTTTTACAAAAGGTTAGTTAAGCTGCTGTTGGGACAAGGGAGAAACCATGCCCTGATTTGTTTTCACCAGTGAGTATGTTCTCACAACTTTAACATCAGCTACATTTCAAACAAAACCATTGTCTGATTGGGAACTGAAATCCTGAAAGAGCTCTTCACTTCAACTACACTGGAGTTAGTGGGTACAGAAGTGCCAATTACAACTCCTTTTTTTTTTTTCTCGTTATCTGCTCAGTGTTGGCCAAGTCACCTCAAGTTAAATCTCCAGGAAGCAGGTCCTGCACCAGTTGGCAAAAATTCCCCTCATTCTTATAGCAAACAGGATTTAGTCCAGTGACAACCATCAACTGGGGGTGGGGAAAGCCAAGCGGAAAGCTTGACAAACTGATCTCCATACTGCCTGGAAATACAGTGCAGCTTAGAGAGGATGAGGAAATACTGCATTGCCATTAGCACAACCTGAGTCTTATCAATACCATTCTGCTTGGGCTTGTGCACCAATCCTGCCCTCCTGACAGGATGGTCTAATGACTACCCAGACTATAAAGCAGAAGGGTCATGCATCCACCTCTCTCCTGCAGGATTTCCCAGCCCTGCTCACAGTCGCTGGTGCAGAGCTGACAGCCAGGCAGGTGGGCAGCGCCGCTGCGTCTGAGCAAGGGCAGCAGGGCAGGCCCAGGGATGGCACCCAGCTGCAGCCAACAGATCTCCAGACAAGTCCGTAGTGGCAAGCAGGTCTGGGGTCCAGCTGGGAAGTCAGGTCAGCAAGCTGGGATCAGTGAGGGACATGGCCAGCCACAGCATACCTGCCGCACAGCTCAGGCAGGGGTGCACGAAGAGGAGGCTCGCAGCTGTTTCCACAGTGGTCTGAGCCAAGGTTACATGGCTGCTCTGCACCAATGCTGGCCACCAGCCCCAAAGCCCTGGCAGAGGGAGAGAGGCTGAGAAGCTGCTTGGTGCTGAGGGCTCTGACACCAAAGCTGCCATTGCTGCGAGCTGCAGAGAGCTCAGAGTACAGGGCATAAAATGCTAATCCTGAATATGAAACACAAAGCATCTGAGGAGAACAGTGTCTGAGAGCCATGGGCAACCCCAGCCACCAGCACTGAACACAGCCACTTTTAGCACTCAGCGTAGGCCAGGGATTACTTCTAACCAGGTCCCGATACTTCTCCATCCCTTAAGCAGAAAGTGTAGTAGAATTGGACTCCGTTCATTGAGGAACCACCCCACTAGCACTAGTTCTACTGCATTATCATTCCTATTAAAAAACCTCAAGAATTATCCAGTTGTTCTACATCATAGGCAAACACAAAGCAAAATAGTCGAATGTGTAAATAAGCCTGCTGATAAGAGAAGTGACTGTTTGTTAACCTCAGCCTGTTGGCCTAATTAGTATAACAGCAGCATATTTTGCATTTAAAGCAAGGTGAAACAAGCTAACAAAGGAGAAGGCTTTGTACTTGCTAATAATATGAGTAAGCGCAGCTCAGAAAGCGATTCAGCAGACTTTGATCCACTCAGAAAAAGAGAACAAGAGCTCTTCAGGCACTTCTGACAATACAGCTTTACCGTGAGCACGCGCCAGTAACCAGCCTCTACCATATTCACGTTCATTTAGGAAGTTTATCTGACATTAGGTTTGTTGAATATAAGAAGCAGAAAGACTGCATTCAATTTCACAGACCTTAAAAATAGCAAAGTGGAGGGAAATCAAAAGGTAACTCTAAGGTCCAAACAATCACAGTTGGGTCTGCCTGTTAAAGCAGGTTTTTTTATATTCATTTCACCTCCTTGCTGTAAATGATTAGCCTTTCAGAAACAGAGGATGTGGCCAGATTTTTTTATTCTAGCCAATCGGTTATGTTCCATCAGTGCTCCAAAATGAAATGAGCTTGGAGGACCGTTCTCAGTCTGCAGATTTTAGACACACCACACACCCCCCATCCACTGAAATCCTGGTATGCACACAGCAAAACAGGCTACCGAGGGCAAATTGTGGTCTAGACACTAACGCTGACCACTGGTCAGCATGAACAAAGTAAATTAAATCACAGTTACTTTCTGCTGTAAGGATGAAAACCAGCAAACAACGTAAACCCATCAATTCACAGCAGGGACTTGGAACACACCGGCAATTGCAAAATGTTCAGCCTCAGAGCTGTAAAACACATCATCATTTCCAAGATTAGCAAAAGCTGTTCATCTCACTGTGTTGTCATGGACAGACGTTTTTTCCCCCTCTGAGTTTCTTCTATCTTATTAGATTTTAGTTCCCATTACGAATAGGACAATTTTGCAATGGGGCAAAATTAATTAGTTTGCATCAAAGAAAGGCTTCTTAAAACGTAACACTAATGAGTTTCATCTGCCTGATTAGAGGGTTTTGCTTTTAGTAACACTTGGTGCAAAATTTTGTTTCAGAGAAATATAACATTATAAGAATATTCAAGGCTAAAAGCATTAGCTAAACAGTAACCAGGATAATGGATAAAAGATTAGAGTGGTGAACTGCAAGCAGACATATAACTGAATATTGAGAAGAGGATGCAAGTGCAGAGCAGAACAGGTTAATGAAGATTTAACGAAGATGTGTTTGTGCAAGTAGAGCTTGGTACAATTCGCAACAGCATATTTAGAGAACACTACACCTCCCATCTTTTCACAATGCTTTTAGGAATTAAATGGAAAAGAGCTAGGGATGGGAAGACAAGAGTACTAATTCTCCAAAGTCAAACTGATTTTTAGTATCTGGCAAACTACCTGGACAAAATATTTGCTTATTTTAAAATCTGGTTTTAGTCAAGGACAAATTGTGTTTCATCAACTTTGTTTTCAATTGATGGGAAAATCCCTCCAGAGGATAAAGGGGATTAAATAGATTTGGTATTCCTTGCTTTTATTGATTTTTTTCACCCCAACCACTTTCTCTTACCCTACTAGTACAAACAAGTAAGAAAATACAGTCTAGAATGAATTTCCTGATAGGCAGGTGCAAATTCACCTGAAAAATCACATGGTAGAAGTAGTTATCAGAGATTTGCTGGTAAATTGGGCATAGCACACCGTAAATGACATCTGCAGAGAGACATGCTGTGTCATTCGCAAATGACAAACACACGATGTAAGCGCATGAGGTAGAATATGAGGGAACTGTCTTCCCCGTGATTACACGTCCCTCCATTAACCTCCCCAGCACATACACAAGACTAGAAATGAAGATGTGGTGTTAAGAGAGGGCAGGCCTAAGCCGCCATCAGGAACAGCTTCATCTGAGAAGAGGCAGAAAGCCCATGTTTGGACAAAGATGTACTTTTACCCAACGCTCTCCCATCTGTGGCCAACTTTACATTTGTGCCTATACTCTCAAAAACACACAGGCAGACAGTTGAGCAGTACAACTGAACAGGCAGTCACTTCTGGCTAGGGGAAAACACTTAATCCAGATTTTCTGCTGAATCACGTTGCAAAGCATGAAGGGGTTGTCCAGCCTAAGGTGGCTGAGCACAAAAAGCCTTTGGATAAGCTGCGAACTGAATTCAAACCTTTTTTATCTCTTTCATCTCTTTTGATAAGGTTTCAACTTGAACATTACCACTTTTTGTCAAAATGATCTTGACCTGCCATGGGCAACACTGAAACCTTGACAGTTTTATCCTCTCACCAGTCTAACACAGGAATTTAAATTAAAAAACCCCAACTCTTCAAACACCCGTGTGTCCTCTTCCTCTGATGCCATGCACATACTGCACCTGTGCATAATCTGTCTCCTGCTGGCCTTCTGCAACAAGTCGACAACAACAACAAAGACTGTGCCTGTTATTCATAAGCTTTTTGTTATCTCTCAAAAAAAGCAAAAGGGCCCAGAGCATGTGTGGGAAGGAAAAAGCTTTGTTTAATTTAATTACGTTTACTTCTTTCAAGTCTGAGTAAACTCGGGGATCAGCAGAACAACTGGTTAATTAAATCATGAAAGCAGTTCCTTTACCCTGTAAGGGCAACCACATCATGCTGTGTCACATTCAGCAGGTTCTTCCAAAAAAGCGCACTCAACCTTTACACCATGGACCAAAAATAAGTCTGCCACGCAGAGCGTACTACAGTATTAAGAGCTCTTCTAATGCAAAAGATGACAGGTGTGGAGTAGCGCTGTGGTTATTTTCAACACTTCCAATCTTGAGGGCTGGCTCCAGATCCATTAGTGAAAGTTAGTGATAACACTGCAATGAAAGATCTGATTCTCATCCCTAAGTTCATTGCTGGAGAGCAGTGGTCAAGAGGAAAGCGGGCAGGGTGGGCTCCGAGACGCACTCACACAGATGCTGCCCCAACACCGTGCTGGATGCTGTCCTTACCCACCTGCTCTGGCAACCAGAAAGGCTGGAGAAGCAGCTCAGGGCTACACCTGGCTGCTCTCACTGGATTTGTCCCTTGTACCCATAAACACGTGTATTGTGCAGGAATCGGCCTGGGCAACTCCAACCCCATGCCAGTATCTTCTACATCCATCTCCCACCTCCTTTTACAAGTTGTCAAATCCTCTCCAAGAGGAGGAGAAGGAAAAGGGCAAATCTTCCTTTCATTTGGGCTTGGGACTTTCCCATGTCCCCCCAGTGCATAGTGCCAATATATTTAGGTCCCTCAAAGACTTTCCTTGGACTTATATCACTTGCCAGCTCATAGAGAATTGTTTCTTTTTAACCCCTCATAAATGTCTTCCATCTAAAGAGCTCACAAAGCTGTGAGCTTCCTTGCTTTTCCATGTTTTCACCATTTATTTTTCCCTTTCCCATTACTCCAGCCCTTTCTATCCGCTATTTCTCAGAGTCCACTCAGCCATTCTAGTGGCCTCATCCCAAATGACAAAATGGAGTTATTCTGCAGTTTATTTATTTCCACCTAACCTGAAGTGTTTCTCCTTTCTTTCTAGTCTCTTAACTCGTGAAATCAAACTCTTTACTAATCAGGCTGGCATAAACTCAAAATGTCCTCCCATGGTTCCTGTGCCCAGCCTTCCTACCTGACCAGCAAGGAAACTCTCTGATGTTGAATAAAAGTTTGTGCATTACAGAGAATTTTTAATGAAAAATAAAACCTTCTGACATCACTGGTTAATTACAATTTGCTGCACTAAAATACAACACTGTAGCTGTATTGCAGGGAAGGATAAAAGTGTACACGTATTCTCCTGTGTGTTTCAATATCCTCCTATTGACAAAAGATAGGATGACTGGGCTACAACTGGAGACCAGGAAATGATTTTTGTGATTTCATTAGAGTAATTGACAAAAGCATTTCCTTTCTACGTAAGGTTAACAGATGGCTTGTTAAAGTTACAACTTCTTCAAACAGGGCTGTCACCAAAAATGATGTGCATGACAACAAAAATAATATTGATACAAGCTCATTGCAAAATTAAAATGGAGTTTGCATAACCTAAAGCACAGAATAAATAACTGTCACCATTGCAACACAGAATATCAAAGTGCTTTTGCTTTTCTAAGGTTTCCTTGGAAATTGGATGAAGGGAAATAAATTGGGGAAGTGTCAGCAACCCAGGACTTCAGTTATTCCAGGTACAAACATGCAGTCAGTCATCATGCCTGCTCCACACATATGAAGAAACTGCCATGGATGTACAAGCGTGTTACGTTGAGGCTCGGATTTTAATCCCAGTAGTAACAGAATATATTAATCATACAGAATTTTTAATTTTCGGTAAATAAGTTTTTGTATAAAAATGCTGAAGTCAAATTCAAGGTTGTAGATTCCTACTGCTACTACAGACTGAGCAGGATTTTGCTCCAGGAAAGCAGGGCTCCATCACCTGTAATGGTGACTTGGGAAGACAAACACCATCACTCCAAACGTCCCCCCCATCCTCCTTCTTCCCCCAGTTTTATATACTGAGCATGATGTCATACAGTGTGGAATATCCCTTGGGTCAATTGGAGTCAGCTGTCCCAGCTGTGTCCCTCCCAACTGCCCGTGTACCCCCAGCCTACTTGCTGGTGGGGTGAGGTGAAGAGCAGAAAAGGCCTTGACTCTATGTAAGCTCTGCTCAGCAGTAACAAAAACATCCCCGTATTATCAACACCGTTCAGCACAAATCCAAAACATAGCCCCATACTCACTACTGTGAAGAAAACAAATTAACTCTATCCCAGCCAAAACGAGCACAGAGTAAAAACAGGCATGCCTCAGGCAGGCCCCCTCCCCTCAAATACAAATTCAAGGTTGTAGATTCCTACTGCTACTACAGACTGAGCAGGATTTTGCTCCAGGAAAGCAGGGCTCCATCACCTGTAATGGTGACTTGGGAAGACAAACACCATCACTCCAAACGTCCCCCCCATCCTCCTTCTTCCCCCAGTTTTATATACTGAGCATGATGTCATACAGTGTGGAATATCCCTTGGGTCAATTGGAGTCAGCTGTCCCAGCTGTGTCCCTCCCAACTGCCCGTGTACCCCCAGCCTACTTGCTGGTGGGGTGAGGTGAAGAGCAGAAAAGGCCTTGACTCTATGTAAGCTCTGCTCAGCAGTAACAAAAACATCCCCGTATTATCAACACCGTTCAGCACAAATCCAAAACATAGCCCCATACTCACTACTGTGAAGAAAACAAATTAACTCTATCCCAGCCAAAACGAGCACAGAGTAAAAACAGGCATGCCTCAGGCAGGCCCCTTCCCCTCAAATACCTAACTAGTTACCAAAACCAGGAGTACGCTGCAATCTGCTGTGCTCATCTCAGACCAATGTGCAACACAAGCTTCAACCCTGTAGGACCCCACTTTCAGATCTCACCTCTGGCAGGTTCAAGACCTGTGCAAGGCAAGGGCATGCAACACCTGAAACTGCCCCATCTCCACTGTGAAACAGCTGCCTGATGCCTAAACCAGCCAGCAAAAATGTGTGTGGCTGTGTGTGAATAATAAATAAATAAATAAATAAATAATCAAGCAATACTAGTTTGCTCACCTGCTATGGCTTTTAAGACCTCACCTTCACCTTAAACTTGTCTTGTTTCCATGAGAGCAGGAAAAACTACAAAGGAGATTCAGCTCTGAAAACAGAAAAAGTAATCAACCTTGTACCTTTTTGATAAGTGACTGCACATAAGCTATTCCACTTGGACAAATCTAGAATGCTAACTTTGTTACTGATATTTAATATTTTTCTTGTTCAACATCACACTTACTCAGTATTTATCCCGTTGTCATAATCGTCCCATTTTTCTTTCTGTTTTCTTTCTGCAGTATCCCTTCTTCATTTCTTTTCTTTCTCTAGTATTACTGCCTTACTTCTCTTCATAGCATCCTACCACCAATTGCCTTTTCAAGCAATCTTGTTTGCACTAGTCTCTGTATAAGATTCAGCCCTCTGACTTTTCTGAGACATCATTAAGATGTGCAGCTAACTCCCAAAGACCAGAACTGGAAGAAAGAAAGAAAACAGAGCCCCAGTGGATTTTCCCTGGGATTGTTCATTTTCTTCACAATAACAACTCAGAAGCAAACCTTTACCAAGCTAAGATGTCAGCTCCTTGCATCATAAAACCACGTTTTTGGAAAAGAGGTGAATAATTGAATTGGGGAGGCAAATAAAAGGAGGAATAGGAGCAATATTTCTCATTGCAAAACCTCTGTCAATAGCTATTGGAAATAACCTGGTTTATTTTACCAACCTTGTGATGTCAGGTTCACTTAGCGCACGCCTTGTCAGCTCCGACTGAGGGGCACGCTAACTGCATGACTGACGCACATGACCGTGACTGGGGAGCAGACGCACAGCTGCTCGCTGCTTTTGTTTGCCTTCACATGAAGGATTTTTGAGAAATTGTATAATACTACAGCAGACTGGTCCTTGCCCCAGGTGTAGCAGGTTCTTCCTTTCTCACTGAGTTTGGCAGAGCACATTAATTTCATCATCATCACCATCTATAACAACAACAACACAGCAAATAGGAAGCATTAAAAAGGAAAAAAAACAGACAACATTTAATTTTGAGGGAAAAATAAAGGATATGCTAAGGAACTGCTGTGACCAATAGGTTCCACTCTAGAAACAAAAGCAAAGTCTCAAGTGAAAAACAGAGACACTGCTGCTTTTGTAACTCTCAGTAACAGCCAAAATAATCCAAGGCTAATGGGAAAGAGCATGGATTTTCAAAACAAACAAAAACCCAGTAACATACCCCTACCTTTTCATACTGGCATCATAAACTATGAAGATGGTTGAATGACAAATAAAGATTGGTTTGGGTTTTTTTTTGCATTCAGCTTAGTTACAGCCAAAGGTAGTTCTAAGAGTCAATCCTAACAACACATAACCTTACAAAGGAATCACTGTAGCAGTTATAAGAAAATACGAACTAAACATGTAATGACAATGAATTAATAAAGCAGAGTGATCTGAATATGGAGAAGCATAGAAAAGAACTTCCCAGCACATTAGGTTTTATGGTTTAGTCTACCAGAAAGGGCAGGTTTGCAACACAAATACTGGGCAAGCATTAGGATACGAAGAGCCACAAAAATCTCCTCGCACCATCAAGGGAGCAGATGAAGCAGTCTAGTATCATTGATTTTTTTCTCCACATACCAAATTTCTTTGGTTTTATGTTTCCTTGTCCCATCAGGAAGAAGTTACTATGTGGGATAAAGATGCCAAATGTACATGAAACTTTGAGTCAAAAGAATGTTAGAATCCTGTCTTTGAATTAAATTATTATATGGATCTATTAAGTCTAATTTAAGGCCTTCCAGTCTGATTTCTACCTCTATTTTCTAGGTGTGCTCATGCCACAAATTTACATCCAGCTCTGTCCAAGCCGGACCGTATTCCTATTACTTTAGTTCAATGCTTCAGATACCCGCTTTTTGTTCAGAGCTCTGCACAAAGCAGTGACAAGTACTTCTCTTTTTTTTTCCCCCAAAGGAGGATGTTATGGATGTAATCAGATCTTTGGTCTGGAAGAAAGCTGCTTGCCTGCCTGTACAGATAAATATACATTTGGAATCAATGAGCCCAGAGAGATCTGGCTTGCCAGCCACTGTCAAAGCAAGGAGAGGGAACCAAAAGAAAAACAAACCAAAACCAAGAAACCCCCCGCAACCCCACCCCACCCTCCCCCCCAAAAAACCCAACACCGCCAAAAAAACCCAGACAAATGATGTTCATGAAGCACAGACTAAGGGAGATCCCTGCTGGCAAGATGATGAAACACATGTGCACCACTTCCAAACATATCATTCACCCGTTTCCACAAATAGTTTCTTCCACACCGGAATGCCAAAGCCATCGCACATTGATCTTGCATTCAAGTTGGCACCAGCCTTTTGCTCCCAACGACAGTGCGGCCCCAGCCACGCAGCACAGACTGCACAAGAGCAGCTGTTTGGTGGGGAAAGGGGGAATTCGGTCTCCACCATGTTTATCAAGGATAAAAATTACCAGCATACTTGAATCATCATTCTGTGGAAGCAAGGCTGATGGCCCCATTTCTACAGCTTCTTCTATTGCAGAAGAGCAGAAGGATGGGACCGAGTTGGTTTCCCACTTACTGATATCGGCAATTTTTTCTACCACGTGACAGGCATTAGATACCATCCCACTTAGGCAATAACTATACCAAGGAAATGATCTATCTCACTTACTCATTGTAATTAGTGATACCACATTTAACAATTAATCAGCCAGTTCTGGATACTTGTGTATCAAAAAGAAGGAACAATATGAAACAAAATATCTTGTCTCAGCTTTTTTGTACATTATGTTAAACAACTACTGCAAAACTTCAACAACTACCACAAATTTTGAGGCACAAATCAGAAATAATTCTTAACTACAGTGGACTACCATAAAGTTACTTATCATACACCTGCGGGCAAACTAAGCTCAGAAAGATGTTAACAACTGGATGAGAGAGACATTAACTTCCAGACCATAAAAATAACTAAGCAAAGAAAGTGAGAGTTAAAATGAATATTCAATGAAGAACAACATATCTTACTGGACATCAACATTACGAAGCAGTTCAATTTTCCTCTTACAAATTACATACTTGAGAGTAACAGACATTTCCAGTGCCCCAGAAAACAAATTTAATTGACACTTAGAATGAAGGAAAGCATACAGGTTTGTTTTTTTTTTTTTTTTAAAAGAAACTTTATTACAAATCTGGAGGTTTAAGAAAATATCCCAAAACTGTCAAAGTAGTATGAAAAATGCTGTCATCCTATTCACAGTTGCCAGTTTTCTCCAATAAACATAGCATACAAAAATCGATAGAAACCACAGCAATTCTTTTTGGTGACACAAGTCAGATGTTCGTAATTCTAAATCCCCTGCCAACAACGAAGATGCTGCTGGCAGCCCAAGCGAATGATTAAATTGCGCTATTCTTGAAAACTGGAAGTTTGGATGAAAAGGCTATATACATATACACATACTGTATTTTACCACATGTACAGGTAACTCAGGGCAAACAAAACATGGCTCAGCACAATACTTAAAGTCTGCAAAAACCTGGAGAGCCAGGGAATGTGTATATGGTATTAAGTTATTCTTTATGCTCTGGTTCCCATTCTCCAAACCTAAAAAAAAGACCAACTATTTTCCACTCTCATTTATAGAAACAGCAAGTTGATGTGTTGCTATACTGTCTTTTCAGACACAGAAAATATTTTCCACACTGCCTACAAGCAAGTGATCTAAAAATCTAATGCAGTTAAAACATAATACAATTAGAAGTGGGATTTTTAGAAGACTGTAGACTGTATTTGCTGCAGGTGACCAAACGCCTTAAGCTCCCCTGAAAAAACAAGGCTAATGTGGCATTTCTAATGTCATTCGCAGATAATTCATAAGACACACGTATGAGGCAAGAACTCTCTGATACATGTTACATTCGTAAACTGAAATACAGACTGCTTTAAAAAAAGCAGAAAGTTTGCAAGTATGCCACGGATTAAAAATCCAAACCTGCCCTACAATTCTAACTCTGGGTAACCAGCTGCAATGGTTGGAAGCTGCAGCATAGACCACTGGTAACCATATTCACAAATCCTTTAAACTGCACAGGGCCCAGATGCCGCAACTCAGAGCTGCAGTGTAGAAGAAAGTGGCTTCAATGTAAGAAGTGGTCAAGGTATTGATACGACCTAAAAGAGAAAAAAAAAAAAAAAACCAAACAAAAACCCCCAAACAATTCTGTGTAATTTAACTTTGTTTTTATCAGGTGCTTGAAGGTCCTTAAGTAGAGGACATCTGGGATTTCCTACTCATCAATCCTCCTTTTGCCAACAGCAACTTGGAAGAAACCAGCATCATGTTAAAAAAACTACTCAGTGCACTTCATTCATTTTGCTGTTTCAACTTAAGTTGAAAAGCATAGAATCAAGAGTTATTCAAAGAACACCATTCCTCAGAAGAGCAATTAGAAATCAACAGTCTCTCATCACCAGAGTAAGCAGGATGGAAGATGCAGAACTGAATTTACAGTAATTTCCTTCCCCATGCAGACTAGATTAACCCTAGGTTAATCAGGGCTACCTGGAATATGTCTTAAAAGCCACCTGTTGATAAGGAGGTTGCCTCATTCTCCTGCATTTACTGAAGTCTTGATTTCTGCAACACTGTGATGAAACAGTCAAAAATCTTCATTCCAAAGAAGGGAAATATTTCATGTACATTCTTAGGCATGAACCTTCAGGCTTGGGAAACGTTTTTCTAGATTGTCAGCAAGTGTCTGATCAGCCTCACGCAAAACTTCAAGAAAACTCTCCACCTGGAAATAAATTGCAAAAACACACAAAAAGAAAAAAAAAACAACCTTGCACAGCACAGAGAATTCTTACACTTGGTATAGGGGTTCTTTCTAGTCCTATACCTTCCCACCAACAGCAGCCACAGCAAAGAATAATGGAAAATGCTCCACAGGAGATACCTTCCTCTTAAACCCCACAATTTCAGTAGGTGTAGATTTTGAAACATTATCACCTTCCCCAAACTCTTATTTTATTATTTAAAAGTACACAAAGAAAAGCTCCCTATGAAAAATATTTAGAATAATTATTCTATAAAAATGCACAGGACAAATTTTCAGCTAGCATAAATTTGCAGACATCCATTCATTTCAGCACAGTTTGACCCTTATATCAGCTGATGATGTAGGCAAAGCTCTGGTTAAAGCAAGCCAGAAGAGGCAGAGAGAGTAAGAGTGGCTAGAATGGCATATTAGCTGTGTCTGAGCAATTCTGTCCTACCTCTGCATCTGATTCTGAAAGGTCTTGCCACCCAACAAGTATTTTTTCAGCTACGTTAAAGACCTTGTCATATACTCACTGATGCAAAATACAGAGGCAAGAGGTTCTGAAATGCACAGGAACATGTCTGTTCATTTAAATGTCCCTGGTGTAGTCCTTCTAATGTATTTTCCTGGAAAATAAGAAATACAACAAGCATGTCGTGAACAGTTCTTGAAAGAACAAACACAAAATTGTACACACAGTGTCTACACTATGTACTCTGTTCTCAAAAATGGGTAAAACAAGCAGAATTTACAGTTCTCAGAGAATGCCAGATGTAGCTAATACAAAAAGGTGTGAAAGCTCATACACAAGTCTCTTAATCTGAATGCTCTCATAACAAATAAGTCCAGCTGAGAAGGTGAGTTTATATATTGACACTCATTGGCTTTCATTTAAAAGAAATGGCAACATACACCTAGGGAATTTATCACACAGAATCTTGGCCTTGAAGGCGTACAGCTCATTGTGTCCCTGCCATCCAACACACATGTTGCTACACACCTTCTGACTGATTCTCTAATGAATTTCCGGTATGCAACTTCACTTGGACAGGAAAATGCCCACATTAATAGTAATGTCTTTTTTCTTACCTACCCTGCAGAAATCCTTCTTAGCATTTTATTTATTCTTACCTTGGTCAGTTCTTGAAGCATATTGGAAAGTAATTCACAGCAAATATCCTTCAAAATTTTTAAATGGAAATCTTCCTCGTTCAGATCAGCCCTTCCAGTCTCTTGTTGTTCAGTCTCCTTTGAGTTATCAACAGATCTCTTCCCACAATCCTCCATGTATTGCAAGATACGAATCAAGCTCCCAATCAGAGGCATATCTAATATAAAGTAACAGGAAAATGGAAGTTTGACATTGAAAATTTTTCCCCATCTTCCCATGGCATTAGAATTTTGAAACACACCGCAAGATTTTATACAAAAGCTATAGGAATGTATATTCTGACAGTGTTGTGTTTTATCAAAGACTTTTGAAGAAGCAAATGGAAGTGTAGTAGAAAACCCAAACCATTTTTTCTGCAAGCTAACCTGTATCTATAAAAAGTATGCGCCAGTGGTAAGGATTATGAGAAGGAAAATGTCTCTAGTAGTAACTCAGAGCAGCTGGTATGTTAAATTTTCATCCAGATAATCCTACCTGATAAACCAAACCGATACAGCGTCTTTCTGCTGCAGATGACCCTGGCTCACATTCCCAAGATAGGCTTTTAATTCTAAAGACTCGTCAATGGATTGAAAAGTAACAAGTGATAAAGATGGACTTAAATAAGTGCAGAATCTCCCTCTACTAAAAAAAATTACTATAAAGGCCTTGTATTTTAGCAAAGATGAATTCTGCAATTTTCATTAATTCACCCAATGGAGAAGACTGAACAGAATCTGTAGATTCTATTCCTGTAACTCTTCAGAGATACCCAGTAACTGAACTTTGAGCTAGCTGTGATTTTTAGAGTCACCAGTAAAGAGCCTTACTGCATTCAAACATGTAACTGAATTCTGTGTTCTGAACTCATCTCTAGTAAACAGTAATAAATTAACCACCTTTCACCCCACATACGTAAAGTCCATCGTGAAAGTAATGTTAAAAAAAAACATAACACCAGAAAAAAAAAAGCACAACTTGCTTTTCCTCATCTTGGTGTATTCTTGTTCTGTCTGTGAAGCAAACATAGCAGACAGCACGGACAAAATAGAAGCCAATACAGTCTTCTGCTCCTGCACAATGATCGGTGGATCGTCTGGCTGGCAAAGTTCATGGCAAACAAGGTCATAAAGCAAACTCCAAGTCTCTTTTCCTCCATCAGGAGCCTGCACTTGAGAAAGAAAGAGAGAGAACCCACCAACCCATCAAATTTAATCTCGGTACACAAATTATTTTTCTCCCCATTAAATATCTGATGATCTAGAAATTGCCGCCATTCTTATATGTAGCAATTCAAGTGTCTTACCGATAGCCTGAATACCCTCATCCACTGTGGTCAGGAGCTGCAAAATATGCATATAAACATCAAGTCCTTCCGGATTGTCAGATCTACACAGAACAAACAAAAACCAAAGACAAATTAAAGATCTGATTACTGAGTTTATATTCTGCGTGTTTGGGATACGCAGACTATCAGCAATCCCTGCCACTCTCTTTGCTAACACACTAGTTGACTCATTTCAAATGATGAGTACAGGGAAATGCATTCTAATGATCTGTCAAACTATGCAGATCCCACCGCAATCAAGATTTTCAGGCACAGGCCTTAACAAGGAGTCTCCCCAGCCATGAAACCGAAAAGAAATCTCACATACCGGACTTGTTTGGCTGCTTCAAGTATACAAGGCACAATCTTAAAATCTGGAAGTTCTTCAGGGGAATCATCTACAGATGGTCCCACAGACCGACAAGTGCCATTTTTAATCCAGTTTAACATTAGCTCTTCATCTAGGTCAAAGAGTTTGTCCACCACTTCACCCACTTTTACCAGCAATTCAACTGCACAAGAGAGAATGTACAAATTTCAACAAGTCTAAAAACAAAGAGCAAAAATTAGCTCACAAAATGTTAATATATAGAAGGACTCAGAGTAAATTCAGCACTGAAATACATTAGTTTTGTTCACAACCTGCTAATGGTTGCTATGTTTACTTCCTTTTTGTGGCACAGATCAGGTGAAGAGTTTGATAAATAGGGACTGCTGGAAAGCCCACAGATACCTTCTACCTTATCATGCCATTTATAAAGCAGGAACTTCATTCTGCAAAGAGACTTCAGGTTCCTGAAAAGTTGTAACTTCTGCTTCTGAAGTAAAACTTTCCAAGATTTGTCCCTAAATATGCCGTTTTCTGCTAACCTTATGCCTGCCAATCTGCATTTTAGTTAAGTAGATTTGTGATTTTAAAAAAAAAACAAACAAAACCCAACCAAATTGAAAAAGCTAAATTATTAGGATTCCTAGACAAATGGTAACTGCTGTTACAATTGAGTTGGATGTGAAAAATAAATGCTGGTCAAAATATTTCTATGATTAGGTGCTTAATGTGGTTTTTGCTAAGTTAGTGCTAAGAGATTTGTGTACCTCTGACTGCATAGCCGAAGCCTTTGCAGTATTCTGCTGCCGTTCAGAGTAACTGAACCATTCCTCCAGTTCACATTCCTCAAGTATGGTACTTTTAAAAATGGAAAATATGCATTTGATTTGAAAAAAATGTTAAGTGAGGTCTTGTTTCAAGGATAAAAAATGACATATGTATATCCCTGAATGAGGACTATGTCCTGTCCTTTCCTTTACCATGCCAAATAACAATTTCTTCTATTAGACTTATTTTCATTCCCCCCCCCCCGAGCTTTCTTCTTCCTCTACAGGTGCTTTTCTGGTTGGTTTTAAATATATTTATAAACCTGCAAAGGCGGGACAAGTTTATTTTGCTGTCCTTTAAATTCATGAGGTTTACTTTATTTTAAAGAAATTCTGTACTCCCAGTTGAAAATATCTGTCTTTGAAACTGCATACTCCAGTTCGTGTTTGTTTCTGTAAACACCCACTAATTTCCAGCTCATTTTGGCAACTTACCATTTGTAGAGCTGGACATGATAAAGCAGACACAGTCATACACAGAAGGGTTTTCTCGGATTCTCTCAACCCAGACATTGGCCACCTCAGGCTGGGAGAGGCAAGTTAACAACAACCTAGACAAGAATTGCCCATTAAACAAACTGGAAGCCAATTCATTTATTTTAGCTGTACAAGTGTAAATCCAAAACAATGAGAAAAACGTGACAGAAACAGGAATCTAGTTCACATCAAATCAATTCCAGAACAATGTGGAAAGGACAACAGGATGAGAGGATAATAAAATAGTGTGCCCACTTGTCAATTTTCTTCCCAGGCCTCAGAACATAGCAGAACTACACTAATGATGTATTAATTTCTGTAATCTCCTACCTGCTAGTTTCCAGAAGAGTTGGAGAGTCTGAATCACACAAACGTTGCAGTAACACTTGGCTTTAAGGAGAAAATGCAAGATCAGATTAATAAATCATAGAATCATAAAATGGTTTGAGTTGGAAGGGACTTTTAAACACCAGCTACCCTACCCACTCCCCCACCCCCCCGCTGTGAGCCAGGACATCTTCAGCTAGAGCAGGGTGCTCAGAGCCCCACCTGACCTTCACTGTTTCCAGGGATGGGGCATCTACCACCTCTCTGGGCAACCTGTTCCAGTGTTTCACCACCCTCATTGTGGTGAAACTTCCCCCACAACTATGGTCAGCCAAAAATGTGTGAATGAAGATGAGGCATGGCAGGCAAACGTAGTTCCTTCTGTAACATACATGTCATGATTTTGAGTGCAGAAAAGCAGTACTCATGCATGTATAAAGCACATATGCACTTACCCAAGATTCTCATCTTTACTGATGGACATGCATATGTCTTGGAAACAGGCCATATTTCCCAATATTCCCACACAGATTTCCTGGAAAGTCAAAACACAGTATAATGAATCAACTGCAACATAGTTCACAATTTCATTTCCACAGCCATAAGGCAAAAGTAAGAAAGGTTCAAAGATGTTTTCCAGTTTGAATTCCAATTTCTTATGATGCACCAATTTCAAGACAGAGATACAGACGTTTTCTATAGGGTGCTATTAGACTGGTCTAAAATACACTATGACAGGAACTATTCCGGTATTTTGGTGTTAAGGTGTTCCATAACAGCAAATATATCTTGAAATCAACTTTGCTTGCATATTCTATGTATACTGTTTTGAAGCTAATCTGGCATCCCTATTATTAAAGCAGTGAAGAGTCCTGAGAACAAAAACTACCACCGCGTAAGTGTAATCCTCACAGATATTCACTTTCTCCCAAAAGAAAGGGGTCTTAATACAAGCTTCCAGCAAAGCCCATTTTCTGATTGCAGAGATTTAAAGAAAAACAACCAACCAAAAAAAAAACCCAAACCAACCAAAAATAGTGCACCCCATTAGGATACTCATGCCTAGACAGTCATTAAAAGGATGCATGCTCCTACAAAAGAGACTGTGAGAGCTCTGAAACACCTGCAGGTGACTGGTGGTGCTAACAAAGAATGTTCTGAGAATTGCTCACTTTCAGCAACTTCAAGTTGGAAACCAACCCCCACCACCCAGGGTTATCTTTTTTAATTAACATTCTATTACCTCTGCTAAATAACAGCAGACACTCTAGCAGCCACTATTTCAAGAAGGTAGCTGTGACAGCTGATTTGCACTGCCTTCCAAATTTTGGTTGCACTTTCATAAGACAAAGCACTGAGCTTTCAAAGCCTTACATGTCTCTACTCATCTTCTGAAGTAAAGCTTCTGGTAACTTCAGAGAAAGGGGAATTATACTAACACTGATTACCTTTCAAAACCCTATCTTAAATCCTAAATGCCAGTGTACTGTATAATACAAGCTGCAAAACAATGACATCAAAAAAAGGGGGAGGAAAAAACCAAAAGTATTAAGTACTGGCGTCTTAACAGTTCCTAACTGCTAACATTACTTTTATAGGTCTGACTAAACCAATTCATGGCCATTTCTGTTCAATAATCATGAAACAAGTAATGAGGAAAAAAAAGCCAGTGGTATTGAGTTTGCGTGGCAAGGTTTTGGTAGCAGGGGGACAGAGGTGGGGGGCAGAGGTAGCTTCTGTGAGAAGGTGCCAGAAGTTTCCCCCATGTCCAACAGAGCCAATGCCAGCCATCTCCAAGACAGACCCACCACTGGCCAAGGCTGAGCCCATCAGCGATGACAGTAGCGTCTCTGTGATAACACCTTCAGAATGGGAAAAAACTGTGCAACAGCAGCCAAAGACAGGAGTGAGAATAAGTGAAAGGAACAACCCTGCGGACACCAAGGTCAGTGCAGGAGGGGGAGGAGGTGCTCCAGGCACAGGAGCAGAGATTCCTCCACAGCCCCTGGTGAAGACCATGGTGAGGCAGGCTGTCCCCCTGCAGCCCATGGAGGCCCACGGTGGAGCAGATCTCCACCTGCATGCTGGGGAGGACCCCACACAGGTGGATGCACCTGAAGGAGGCTGTGACCGTGTGGGAAGCCCGCGCTGGAGCAGGCTCCTGGCAGGACCTGTGGAGAGGAGCCCAGGCTGGGGCAGGTTTGCTGGCATGAATTGTGATCCTGCGGGGGACCCACGCAGGAGCAGTCTGTTCCTGAAGGACTGCACCCATGGGAGGGATCCACACTGGAGCAGACCTTGGAGAACTGCAGCCTGTGGGAAGGACTCACGTTAGATGTTCATGAAGGACTGTCTCCTGTGGGAGGACCCCATGCTGGAGCATGGAAAGAGGGCAAGGAGGAAGGAGCAGCAGAGACAAAATGTGATGAACTGACTGCAACCTCCATTCCCCACCCCTCTGCACCACTCAGGAGGAGGAGGTAGAGAATTTTGGGGTGAAGTTGAGCCTGGGAAGAAGGGAGGGGTGGGGGGAAGGTATTTTCAGATTTGGTTTTATTTCTCATTATCCTACCCTGATTTGATTGGTAATAAATTTAATTAATTCCCCCAAGTAGAGCCTGTTCTGCCCATGATTGCAATTGCCAAGTGACCTCCCTGTCCTTATCTTGACCCATGAGCCTTTTGTTTTATTTTCTCTCCCCTGTCCAGCTGAGGAGGGTGAGTAATAAAGAAAGTTGGTGGGCACCTGGCATCCAGCCAAGGTCAACCCACTACAGCCAGTCCTTACTGTTTTTTATAACAAGCCTTATAGCTAGGTTTGATAAACTTAGTCCTTCATCAATAATGGCATATATCAGCTTCAGCATCACTGAAATACTTACTGATCAGACCATAAGAAAAACACGGTGAAAAAGCATTTTAAAATTTGATGTTTTTTCTCCTCATTCCCCTAGCCTACTCAAACATGCAATGGGAAGAGGAGAGAGATATGTGCAAATGCACATACAAAGCTATCTACTATTGCTATTAATATGGAACAGCTTTTTGACAGCCCATACTTACAGTAAGGCGAGGACATTTTGACTTGGCAAAAACTCCCATGAATATATCGGGGGCATTGAACTCCTGAAGAAACAAAGCAACATCCTGTGGAGAAAATGAATGGAGAAGTACATGGACTTCTACACTTTCCAAATGCAAAATCAAACCTTTTCTCACAGCATGAGGATTGGATCAGAAATGTCAAACTCACTACACAAGATCAGCTACTTCCCAACAGTTAATACCAACAATCCTTGATTTCCAATGAAAGAAGATCAGCAAGCCCCTGTAGTGATTCAAGACACCAGTCATTTGCTATACAATGAGCCAAAAAGTAGCATTTTGTTTCTTTTGCTCTTGGTCTCAACAGAGGGTCAGAGACACTAAGTCAGAACTCAGTAAATACCATGTTTTCAGATAGTGATGTCATCCATCCATACAAAAAAACCCCAAAGGATTACCATTAGCACTTGATCAGATCATACAAAAAAGGAAATCTCCACCTCATTTTACAACATTAAACCGTAAGATTTGTCCTCTATTTAGGAGTAAAGGACACATGTTTATTTAAAATATCAAACAAAGACACAGGGAATAAAATAATAATAATTAAAATATATACATATCTCTCTTACTTGAGAATTTGTTCCAGCATTTGAGAATGTTGAGAAAAATACCAAAAAGTTACATTAGATTGCCATTGTGAGTCTGTAGCTAAAGTTTAAAAGGTCGTTTACCTACCAGAGAAAACTATGCTTACTAGCAGGATGCCTCACAGTTGCTAGAGGAAAATATGACTATTTAGAGACGGCATCAATATGATTTCCACAATCAAACTGCTGAACATACAGGCTATGCACCTGAATTAACTTCAGCTACAGATAAGGTACAGTCTGAGCTTTGGTTCAACTCCTGCACATGATAGAGAAAACCAGCGTGTGAATACGGCCCCATTTATGCCAGCTGACCCTAAGCACTAGCATCACAGGATCAATTAGACGGCTGGGGGAAGGTCTGGCAGACCACCTTGCTTCTTTTACCTTCACACACAGCTCTGCTTTTATTCTCAAACAGCAGGCCGGCATCCAGCAGCCAGGATGCGACAGAAGGCCTGCTTCTGCAAACTAGTGCCAGGCCTAAGTGTGCACACAAAGCACTTGCTCATCTTGAAAAGCAGCCGTCGCGATGAGCCCGCTTGATGCCAATTCACCTCACGCGCCCTGCCTACTGTCTCACGGGACACCGCCAGCCAAACCAGGGAATAAGCAATTGCCCTCGAAATCAGAAAGCTGACCGAGCCCGCTTAACTCCGCGCCTTCTCCCGCTGCCAGAGTTTTGAACAGGCTCGGTAGTGGAAACAGGGCAGGAGCTGCCGGTAGCTGTGAACCCCCCTCGAGGTCCGACTCCCGCGTGTCACTCCTACCTCGTCCATCGACATGTCCCACACTTTGCAAATATCATTCTCCATCTCTTCGTCCAGTTCAGTCTGGATCCCCTCGGGGCTCGCGGTGGGCTCCGCCTTCTCGGGGCTGATGACCTGAGAGAAAACTGGGA